TTTTTTTTTTTTTTTTTTTTTGTTATTTATTTATCCTATGACTTGTCCTTTCACAAAACCTTCATTGCCAACTTGGAGTGACCTTTATGAATCCAAAGGAACACTAAACAAAAATACAAAATAATTATATATAATGTTTTAATTAATTCGATCATTTTTTTTTTTTAAAGTTAACGATTATAAGATGGACGACGATCTCTTAGCTAAGAATAATTGGTTGAGTTATGTTTAAATTGGTTATAATGAATTCATTAACATCCTTATTTAATTAATAAAATTAAATGTATTTTGAGTATATATTAGTTTACCTTATGGATGGAAGATTCTATTTATCTTAAATAATTTTAAAAATAATAATTTTTAATATAGAGTTAGTTTTAAATTATTTATTTTAAAAAAATATAATAATAATGAAAATTTATCATGATTGGGACGTTATATATATATATATTTGGTTTGTTTGGGGAAGAACAAGCAAGTCAACAAAATTATAGAAGTATCCAATTAAATATAATTCAATCGGTTAAAATATATAATTAATTAGTTATTCATAATTCAATCTATTAATATATATTTTAACTAAAAAATTATAAGTTTAAATCGAATATTAAAAAATTAAATAAATGATAAATCTAAAAAAACCAACATAAAAGGAAGATCATGAACATATAAAGAAATATGGTTTGTTTAAGAGCTGGTCGGATGGTTGGATTGTCGAGCATACCAAAAAATAAAGAGGTTTGGAGGGTTTGTAGGCTTCAATTCTAAAGCATCTCGACACTATGAGACGATGTCTAAAATATTATGTATGTTCGTGTTTTGGTTTGTTTGCTGCGTTTTGAGTGGCGTCTCAAAAAGCTTCTTTTTCTCCACAATTTTTTAAATAAATTTTAATTTTAAATGCTCCATCTCTAAAAAAAAAAATAAACCAACAAGTAAATCATATTAATATTTTTTTAATTAAAACTGCAAATACTATTTAATATAAATTATTATGTAGTCGACGTCATTATCAATAAAAAAATAGTTGATACTAATTAATATAATTTTTATATATATGAGATATTATTTTAAAAAAGCAACTGTAACGACAAAACCAGAAAAACCATACCATATTACATAAGCATTGGCTAATGGTATTATACATATTCTTCACTTAAAATGATATTAAATTGTATACATGTTCAAAGAATCTTCAATTATTCAAGTATATAATATTGTTTATTTTATTTTATTTCATTAAAAATTACATTTTGGTCGTGACAACATTGATTTATCACGCATAAATTTTAATATAAAACATTTAAATCTCTAGAATTTCGTAATAATTTAATTTAGTCTTTGCTATATGAAATTTCATCAAAATTAAATTTCAAAATATTATTATTTAATAATTTATATTTTGTAGCTTTTAGATCTAGATTATTATATATATAAAAAAAATTAAATAATTTTATAATATTTTAGAAATTGAGGAATTTAAAATTTAAGTAATAATAAAATAGTAGAGAAGAGAAATTAAAAGTAGAAAGAAAATTAAATACAAAATAATAACGTTGCGTTGTTAGTTGGGTCATAAATGCAACTTTTCAACTTTCAATCTTCCAATTTAATATTCTTATTTTGTTCTCATATTAATATTTGACTATATTAATAAAAATGCATTTCCATTTAAATTTAATAGTATTTTTAATATCATCCAAAATATATTAATGGTACTAAAAAATTTAAATATATTATTAAAATTTTAAAAGTTGGAGTATTTTTGAGATAGAGCACCAAATTTAGCGGTATATTTATTAATTTAACATTAATATTTTTATTAAAATATTTTTTAATAAAAAAATCACTGGAATAAAAATATTTTAACGGTATAATTTTTTCTACCTAATTAATATGTTTAAGCGGTTAAAAACATCTGAACTTTATCATCATTATAAATATCTAACTTTATCATCATTATAATGTACAACATGTGACTCACGAGAAGTTAGGTATATTATCTAATTTAGAGCCTATAAAAGTAATAAATAAATAAATATATTAACTAAATTAGGAACTAACATTATTAAATCATTT